GGACCAGGGCCTCGAGGGGCCCTGCTGCCTCCTGGTAGCGGAAGGTGCGGAAGCTGAGCCGTGCAGCCTCGAGCTCCTCCAGGGTGGCTGTGGGGGAGTCCATGGGGGGCAGAAATAGGGGACCCAATGGAGATGGTACGCTTGTGTGGAAGATCTTATTTGAGTTGCCAGGAAGGACCTTAAAAAAAAAAAAAAGGCGAGTCAGGTTGTGGCTCAGGACCCTGACTAAGGAAGACTGACATGGGCAATAGGCCTGCCTGAGGGCCACATGGGAACGGAGAACCCTAGGCTGGCTATGGACAAAAAGGCCTCGCAGATACAGGAGTCACAGGAGCTGAGCCACAATAGGATATGAAAACAGGAGGAAGCCTTGGGGAAAATACCTGAATGGGGGGGTGTCCAGAAAACTGCAACATGTTGTGCTACAAGGGGAGGGCCCACTGAGGAGATGATGGTAGGAAATGGGAGGCCTCAGGCTTCAGGGTTGGACGGAAGAGGCAGGGTACCAGCAACAGGCAGGTGGGGAGGCAATGGGGATCTCAATTCAGGACCAGCAGGAGCTATGAGGCTGAGTGGGAAGTAGGTGGGCCCTGTTGTGATTTGTCCTGAAAGTCTCTAAAACATGTGACCCAAGAGGGACAGCAGAACCTGCAGGCTCAGGTGCTCAAAGGGGGCTGGTGTATACTCTGAGATGCTCATGTGTTGGTGAGCTCCGCATGTAAAAACCAAGGCAACATCAGTGTCCCTACCCTGGTGCAGGTTTCCAGGGAACCATGCCCACCTGGGTGCCTGCCAGGCTGCCTATGCCTTACTCAGGTCTGTTCTATGCTCCTATAAGGGGAGTCCCATTTTTAAATTGCATTATTTTGATTTCTCCCTTTCCACAAACTCTAGTTGGAGAAAAGGTGGTTTCCTTAGACCAATTAATTTCACTATAATTTCTAAGCAAGTTAAAAAAAAAACAAAAAAAAAACAACAAAGAACATTTCAGAGCCATTATTCATGGTTACGGAACCTGTCAAAAATAAATATACAGAAAAAAATAAATAAAATAAAAATAAATGTACCGAATACACCCACGTATAAGCTGAGTTTTTTCAGCACATTATCTATGCAGTTTTTGTGGTAAAATTAGGTGCCTCAGCTGAGATTTGGGTAGGCTTATATGCAGCATATATGATACTTCTCTAAAATCTGAGTCAGCGCTTTTATGTATAGCTTTATGTGACTTTAACTCTTCCATTTCCAGTGTCAGCAGATACATGTTCATTACTGCATGATATGAACACGAGTATTAATTTCTAGAATGTACAGACTCACAATTACTAACATTTGCTTTCAAACCAAATTATTGTTCTAGATTATTAATATTTGAGGTATGTTTTAAGGACAAGTGGGGTATCATTTCCTTAGTATACTGAGTTGGTTGAGTTTTTGAATACACTGGAGCAATGGCTGGATTTAAATTTTACAGACTCCTGAATATTCTAAGGAACTCAAAGGAGCAGTAGCTAACAGGAACTAATTGAACACACGCAACAATTGTTTATCTCATGTCACCTTAAGAAATTCTGGAATAGCAAACTCATCTAATGCTTTCTGCTGCTTGTTCGAGACACTCCGGACACTTTCTTCAATCTTCTTTGTCTTCTTGCTCTGTACTGCATTGTACTCATCTGTGTGGTGCCGCTTCAGATGTCGCTCTAAATTAGCCGCATGGTCTCCAACCATATCTGTGTTGCAAATTTTACACGTGCTTTTATTTTCAATCTTTTCATACTTGAAAAATTCTCGACATGGATTTTCTCTGGTTCGGCCCATACTAGAAATCAAAGGGCAATAAGTAATATTAAGGCATGTTTTATAGCTACTAGATTGCAAGATTTTGACTAAAAACATAATGCCTCGATACATCGGTAGACATGAATTAGAGACAGGATTACTAACTTGCTTCTAGCTTGTATATTATTAAGACCATACTAATTCATCTATTAAATTCATAAGGTTTGCAGATTCCTTCCATCAGAAGTCCCACTTCACAGTTTTGTCCATTTATCCAGCACTTTCTGAAGGAAAGCCTCGCTTCATAGTGGTATGGTCAAGTTGTTTTCAGTGAAATAAGGGTATGTATCATTTGAAAGAGTAATTTTCTTTCTACTAATTGGTAATATTTGCTAACAACTGGGCTTCCAGCTGGTTCATCCCAATTCAACCTTCGTTTTAGATTTTGATTTTTCACTCCAGAAATACGGAATTAGAATCTCTGGTTTAACCCCATCCCCAGGTGATTCCTATTATGCATAAAACATATAAAATACATTGAGAATCACCTGGGGACCTTGTTAACCTTAACAAGGTCCCCAGGTGATTCTCATGCATCATCTATTAGCTATCTAAAACCACATCAAAAAGGTAAGAGTCACCGGGGGGTATGATTCTTAACAAGATCCCCAGATGTTTTTTATGCATAATCGACTGTGGATCTTGTGGAAATGTACAGTCCGATTTCGTAAACCTGGGCTGGACATGCAAATTCTCAGCAAGGGGTCGAGCCAGAAGGAACCAGTTCGAAGCGCTGGTTAACATCTGGCTTGGTGAGGTAAACATAAAACGTAAGCGTGCAATTACATGCACTGTGCGATAGAACATTTAAATCGCGACTGAGTACAAGAACGGAATCATCGAAAATCACCAGCGATTCCTGAGTTCTGGGATGTAAGCATCACAGTGCCAATCGTGAACAATGTCCGTTCGAATCGCTCACACTCACCTGACAAACTGCCGTTCGTGAAACTCCGTTCAGAACCGGGTGCCTTCCCACTCGCTCTCTTGGATCCTGACTAGGCTGTCCTCCGCGGCCGGCCGGCCCTCACATCTTCAGGAGGCTCGGCTCGCCTTACCGGGAAGAAGGGGAGCGCCGAGCGGAAATAGCGAGCTCTCACTGGCCTGCCAGTCGCCTCACGTAAGCAGCAACTCAGCCGCGGGGCCGGTGTCGGAGGGTCACTTCCGAGGAATGGCGCCGCGCCAGCTCCGCACGCCATTCTCCGTACCCTCGCGCACAACTCGGCGGCACGCCCCGCCCACGGGTTGCCTTGACAACGTCGCCCGGGCCAATCAGGCGCCGGCACCGTAGAGCCCATCCCCGGCATTCGGACTACGTTTCCCACAAGCCTCAGCAAGCAAGCAGCGGCTAGTCTGCGGCTAGTGGGAGCGTACTTCTGGACTTTCCATGTCTGACAGGTATCAGGTGTCCAACCAGGCCTCCTCACAGCCTCAGTTTGGGGGGCTCACCCCGTGACTGGCGCTCGTTCTGTGCTCGAACGAGCCACAGGACTTAACCAACTGCCAAGTTGCACACAGTACATCGAAACATTGCCCATATGCACGAGTTTGGTTTCCATTGTACAGCAAGGTGAGACGGAAGCGCCAACCAAACTATTCCTTTCGCTCATGCCCCGCCCCCGAGGCGCTCCTAGGTCATGGCCGTACTCCTGTTATCCTTGCCTCAGCAGTCACTTGTTCTGGAAAGCTGGAGGTGGCCACTTAGGGCCACCTGCATTTCTGCAGCAGTTGTCCTGCCCCATGGGCTTTCTCTGCCCACTCTGGGAAAGGAGTGCAGCTAGTCCTCTGAGCGCCCTACTGACCCGGGTGTACCTGCACCCTTCACGGAGGAAATTGCTTCAGTTTAAGGAGTATCTGCATCAATAAAGGGCGCGAGTCCAGTTGCCATGCAGGTCAGTAGGGCGCCCGGTGGAAATCGAATGAAGGAGCCGGCGTCCTGTTTGCTTCCAGGGCTAGACCCTGGCTGTTCTGAACCCACCTGGAGGAGAGTCTCTCCCGAAATAGAGGTCACCACTTGCCACTGTTAGAACTTTCGATTCTTTTCCGGGCTATTTTACCCATACGTGTGTAGTCATATATAAAAGATTTACATGCTGCTTTTGGTATTTCTACTGAACGTAACTTGATAGGCAGCTCAGGGCTTTCTAGCTGTACAAGAAAAATGTGGAGACTAAAACGTTTGGAAAAGACATTTACTTGCAGAGGGACAACCTGAAGAATGCAGCAGAAAGTTAACTGAAGTAAACAAATACTGCTGTTACCCAAGTGGCTGATATTGCATTAGTCCATTGATGGTTGGAAGGAGCACATTTGTCCTATGATCATCATAGCCCGATGTCTTCGTGTTAGGATGCGAGTGTTTGCTTGGACTGATGGCGGAGCGTAACATTTCTTTTGGGGCCCAGAACTAGTCAAACCTGTTATTTTTAGTTCACCTCTGTAGGCAATGTTACTATCAGTTTTTTGTTCCCCAATGGAGTGGCTGAACTATGATTTGGCCAATCCTAAAGTGTTTGCCTGTTTGGGTGTCCTGGTGCTGAACAACCTCAGGTGGGTGCACTGACTGGAAGCTCAGGACTTGGCAACTCTGAGCCTCCTCTTCAGAATGATCAGTTTGGGGCAGGCCTATGCTTAGGTCCTTCCTCTGAGACTACAGAACCACCAGAAGCGAGTTTTCATGTCTGCTTGGGAGGGAGAGTGCAAGGACTAATTCCTGCTGACCACTTCTCAGCTCTCTCCCACTCTTTTCTGGCTGCTCTTTCAGCCCCATTCTATAGGTACTGGGCTTTGGGCCTGCCTCTGGCATTCTGCAGGGTAAGCCTGGTCAAACCACCTCCCCACCTCCCAGTGCTGACTATGTACCATCTGTGTCAAAGTAGTGTTACCATTGACCTCTTTTTCGTCATCTTCTCGTCACTTACGAATCCTAAGTCTTCCTTTCCCTCCTTTTAGTGGGTTTTCTCAGCCAAGTGAGAGGAATGTGTTCAGTCTGCCACATGACCCAGAAAAACCCAAGGACATATCCCAGTCACCCCCTGGCAAGCCTCCTCTTGGCCACAGGTACTTCCTGGCTGCCCTGCCCATAACTGTTCTGCAGCGTGACCTCTTTAAGGATGGAGAAGGTATAAGCTCTGAACCAAACGGTCATTTCGGTCCTCACCTGCCACAGACGCTGCAGGCGAAGGCTTTCTGTGGCCGGCTGGGGCTCCTTGCGCTGCGCACCTGTCGGGTCCCCGTGGTGATCTCAGGTCTGTGTAGGCTTCAGGCTAGAGGGGCAGTAGGATGGGCCTCCCTCCCCAGAGCAGCCTCTGAGGGTGCCATGGATGAGGCCTTGGGCTGCGGGGGGCAGCCGGCGCGGGCCCTGGGCCGCCGCCCAGCCTTCTCACCGGTGTGTATCTTCTGGTGGTGGAAGAGGGCTGGGCGCTCGCGGAAGGCGCGGCCACACTGCGGACAAACGAAGGGCTTCTCACCCGTGTGGATGCGCTGGTGGCTGAGCAGCACGGCACCCTTGGCGAAGGCCTTGCCGCAGTCGCCACAGCGGAAGGGCCGCTCCCCGCTGTGCAGCAGCTGGTGCTGCGTGAGGTTGGAGCTGTGGCTGAAGGCGCGGCCGCACTGCTCGCAAGAGAAGGGCTTCTCGCCCGTGTGCACACGCTGGTGCTTGAAGAGGGAAGAGCCCTGGCTGAAGGCAGCACCGCAGAGCGCGCAGGAGAAGGGCTTCTCGCCCGTGTGCGTGCGCTCGTGCTGGATCAGGTGCGAGTTGCGGCAGAAGCGTCGGCCACAGCGTGCACAGGCGTAGGGCCGGCCGCCCGCGTGGATCTTGCGGTGCTGGCTGAGGTTGGAGCCGTGGCTGAAAGCCTTGCCGCACTCGCCGCAGCGGAAGGCCTTCTCGTCCGTGTGGATGCGCTGGTGGCGCACCAGCGACGAGCTGTGTCGGAAGGCCTTGCCGCAGGCCGGACAGGCATAAGGCGTCTCGCCGCTGTGGATGCGCTGGTGCTGCGTCAGGTGGGACGTCTGGCTGAAGGCCTTGCCGCACTCGGCGCACTCGTACGGCCGCTCGCCTGTGTGTGTGCGCAGGTGCTTAAGCAGGTCGGAGCTCTTGAAGAACACCTTGCTGCAGGCCCTGCACTCGAAAGGCTTGTCCCCAGGTGGGAGGCCAGCCACCACGTGGAGGGCCTCGCCCAGCGCGTCCCCCACTGGGGGCTCTTGGTTAGGGGCTAGGGCCTGTGTGTCGCTAGTCAGCAGCGCCAGCACATCCTCCCCGTACAGTGGGAGCTCACCGCCAGTGTGCCCGGGGACGCGTGGGAAGGCTCCCTTGTGGGGATCCCGAAGCCGCAAGTCTGGCTTTGGGAGCTTCCCCGGCGCTGGACAGTCTGTGCGGACCCTCCCACTGGGCAGGCTGCCCTCTGCAGCCCACAGTGGGGCAGTCAGGCGCAAGCCAAGGGTCGCTGCTCCGCCGTTAGAGCCTGGCAGGAGCCGCTCCCAGTAGATGACTGACACCCCCGTAGATTTCCTCTCCCCGGGTAGCAGAGCATTCTGCTGGCCCACCTGCCCCAGGTCACAGGTGCCAGCCGAAGGGACTCGAGGAGGCGGGGGCCTAGTCAGAGGGGTACCGTCCAAGAAAGGCCCCAGTAATGCCGAATCTCCAGAAACCACTCCATTGATGCCTGGGCACTGGGAACCTGGAAGCAGAGATATACTCGTTGGCTAGGTCATCGTGGCCAGAAGGGGGCTGCCAGGACAGATCAAACGGGCCAGACAAAGAGGGCTCTGGGAGCTGACTGTGTTTACAAAAGAGGGGCAGGGGGAAGCATATCCCGTGACAAGACTGGAATGCCTACAGCAGACAAGAGCCCTATGGCCCCAAATGTGGGTCAGGGGCAGCATCCCACCTGGCTCTAATGTGGGAGGACAGCAGCTGCCAGGCTCAGCCAGCACTACGGATGGGTGGCATACTCACTGCCTCATGGCACCCAGATATCCCTCCCTGCATGCCCAACCAGGGACACTCATCAACCTGCCCTAGGCTCCTTACTCTGACCAATCCTTCAGGCTGCAGACTTAGATCCATAAATCCTGCTTCCCGACCATCTCTTCCCACCAATGGCAGGGCCAAGACAGTCCTGTGTTCCCACTTCCTGGAATGTGTGGTCACAGCAAATATTCAGGAAACAGTGACAGACAAACGTGGAAGGCTCAGAGCCACATAGCTCTCCAGGTGTGCTCTGAACTGTGGCCAAGGAGTGATCTTGCATCTGAACCCAGCCCCCGAGCCCTCCTCAGCTCACTGTCCCATGGCAGCCAAGATGAGCTCCCAAGAAAACCTGATGGTGGAGGGCAAGGAGGGAAGCCAGGTGGGGCAGTGGAAAGAGAGTAGGCCAGGAAGGGTGACACACAAGCTCAGCCAAGTCCATGTGCCGAGGTCACCCTTGGTTCCAGCCCCCACTTACCAGGACTGTGCCTCCGCTGGCCTCTCCTTGCTGTGGCCAGGGTTGTGTTTCTCCCGTTGGGAACCCAGGGTTCCTTGCCATGCTCCAGTTGGATGACTATGCGGGGTCGGGAGGCCGAGAGTCCTGTGGAAGAGGACGGGGCGGAAGAAGAGCTGGCCCCTGCTAAGGGCAATTCATCTCCCAACAGAAGGCAGGAAATTCATGTCAGCTGTACAACTGTGAAAATCCAATGGTCACCCCACGGGAAGCCATGCACTTCAGGAGAACAGCCCAGTGGTCCCCTTGAGTAACCACTGTATTGCTGGTGCCAAAGGAGGGGTTGAGCCCCAAAAGACACTCCGTCAGGGTCTCCTCCCAGCCCTACCCTTTGCCTCACCACCTGGGATGGTGCTACTCCAGGCCACCAGGTTAGGGGCCACGCAAGAACCCAGCTGAGTACCAACCATCTCTCACACAGAAGAGCCAGGGCCTTACCCAGCGAGGCCACAAGTGCAAAGTTCTCCAGCATCACATGTCGGTACAGGGCTCTCTGGGCCACATCGAGGAGCCCCCATTCCTCCTGGGAGAAATACACAGCAACATCCTCGAAGGTCACCAAGCCCTGCAGTGGCAGGAAGGACAGACAAAGTCTGAGTTCTGTGACCCAGGACCCAGCTCCCCATCTCAACAACCACTTCCCCTGACGTTCCCCTAGATGCTGCCCCACGCCACTTAGTCTTCTCTTGTACTTCGGTGGCTTCTGTGTTGCTGGAAGGTGTATCACTGGTATTTCAAACACCAGCAGGTCACCCAACGTGAAAAGGTTTCACAAAGCTTGCAGACTAAGAGCAAACTACAAAGAAGGACTAGGCTCTTCATTTTCTGAGGAACCCGCCCCTGAAAACCTTAAATATAGAAGCAGAACATTGTTAGACAGAGTGTCAGAAGATGAGCCCCTCAGGAAGGCAGGCACTCCAAATAGGACAGAGGAAGAGCTTCCTCCCCAAAGTAGAGTCAAGCACAATGATGTGGTTGGAGAAGAGGCATGACTCAAAACGAGAACGGCAGTGAGCATTTATTAATAACTGGAACTTGGAATGTATGAAGTGTGAATCTAGGAAAGCTGGAAGTCATCAAAAATGAAATGGACCTCATAAAAATCGACAGACACCCGAAGCATTGTGAGCTTATTGGCCATTTTGAATCAGTCACATGGTTTCACTATGCCAGGAATGACAAATTCAAGAGGAATGGAGTCACATTCATCTACTCATTGTCAAAAAGCTCATTTCAGGATCTGTCTTGAAGTACAATGCTGCCTGTGATACAACAGTATCTATCCACATACAGGAAACTCAGTTTGAATTTGATACAACTATTCTTCAAAGAAAGAAGCCAAGGAATTCTACCAACATCTTCAGTCTGAAATGGATCAAGCATGCAATCAAAATACATTAACATTTTTGACTAGAATGCAAAAATTGTAACAAAGAGGAAGAACAGTAGTTAAAAAATATGGACTTGGTGATATAAACGAAGCTGGAGATTGCATGACAGAATTTTGCAAGACCAATTACTTCCTCTTTGTAAATACCTTTTTTCAACAACACAAATGGCAAATATACACATGGACTTCTTCAGATGGAATACACAGAAATCAAATTGACTGCATCTTTGGGAAATGATGAAGGAGAAGCTCAGGATCAGCAGGTAAAACAAGGCCAGGGGCTGATTATGGGTCAACCCATAGACTGCTCGCATGCGAATTCAAGTTGAAGTTGAAGAAAAGTAAAACAAGTCCATGAGAACCAAAAAATGATCTTGTGAATATCCCACCCAGATTTACAGAACATCTCTAGAACTGATTAAATGCATTCATTGAACGCTCATGATCTATGAAGACCTTATGAGCTGTAGATGAAATCAAGAACATTACACACGAAGAGAACAAATGATCATTGAAAATGTGGGCAACACATGGAAGAAGCACACCAGCCTATGCAACCACGAGGTGTCGAAGGGATCAGGTGTAAGGCATCATCAGAACAAAAAATCCTACCATAGTGAATGATGGGGGGAGTGTGGAGTGGAGATCCAAAGCCCATTAGTAGGCCACTGGAGATCCCCTTGCAGAGGGGTCTCGGGGAGGAGATGAGCCAGTCAGGGTGCGATGTAACAATGATGAGAAATACAACTTTCCTCTAGTTCCTAAATGTTTCCTCCCCGCTCCCACTACCATGACTCGAATTAGATCTTGCAAGTCTGGCTAGACCAGAGGAGGTACACTGGTACAGATAGGAACTGAAAATACAGGGAATCCAGGACGGATGAGCCCTATAGGACCAGTGCTGTGAGTGGCGAAACAGGGAGGGTAAAGGGAGAATGGGTAGGAAAGAGGGAACCGATTACATGGAACTGTGTGTGAGACCTCCTCCCTGGGGGACAGACAACCGAAAAGTGGATGAAGGGAAACGTCGGACAGGGCAAGATATGACAAAATACCCATTTATAAACTATCAAGGGCTCACGCGGGAGGGGGGAGCGGGGAGGGAGGGGAAAAATGAGGACCTAATGTCGGGGGTTTAAATGGAGAGAAAATGTTTTGAGAAACGATGTACAAATGCGCTTTACACAATTGATGTGTGTATGGATTGGGATAACAGTTGTATGAGCCCCTAATAAAATGTTAAAAAAAAAACAAAAACAAAAACAAACAAACAAAAAAAAGAAAGAAAATGTGGGCAAAAAAGAAAAGATCAAAGTGGACATCAGAGATTCTGAAACTTGCTCCTAATTGTAGAGGAGCTAAGGTAAATGGAAGAAATGATGAGTTCAAGGAGCCGAACAGAAGGCTTCAAAGGGTAGCTGGAGAAGGCAAAATAAAATATTATAATGAAATGTGCAAGACCCAGAGTTAGAAAACAAAAAGGAAGAAAATGCACCATTTATCTTACACTGAAAGAACCGAAGAAAAAAATTCAAGTCCCGAATTGCAGTATAGAAAGACTCTAAGGACAAATGTTGAACAATGCAGAAAGTATCAGAAGATGGAAAGAATACACAGTCACTGTACCAAAAAGAACTAGTCTACATTCAACTATTTGAAGAGGTAACATATGAGGAAGAATCAATGAAACTGGAGGAAGCTGCACTGAAAGCATTAGCCAAAAACAAGGCTCCAGGGATTGATGGAATATCAACTGAAACGTTTCAGTAAGCTGATGAAACACTAAAAACACTCAATCTATTGAAGCACTCAATCTATTGCAGGAAAATTTGAAGACAGCTATGTGGCCGACTGGAAGAGACCCACATTTGATCCCATTCCAAAGAAAGGTGACCCAACAGAATGAGCAAATTATGGAATGTCATTAATACTGCATGGAAGTAAAATTTTCCTTACGATTATTCAATGGTTGCAGCAGAACACTGACAAGCAGCTGCCACATTTTGAGGCCAGATTCAGAAGACGAGGTGGAACAAGGGACGCCACTGCTGATACCATATGATCTTCACTGTAAGCTGAATACCCAAAAGATGTTTGTGTTTCATTGATTATGCAAAGGCCCTTGACTGTGTAGATCATAACAAACTATGGATAGCCTTGAGAAGAATGGGAATTCCGGAACACTTCATTGTGCTCATGTGGATCAAGAGAACAGGGATCAAGAGGCAGTTGTGCAAACAGAACAGGGAATACTGCCTGGCAGCCACGTTAGTCCAAGGTTTGGAAGAGTTCCCCCACCTGCCCAGGGACATGCCACTCACTCCTGTGCAAGGGTGTCTTCAGTGAACTGGAGGGCGGTGTCCCAAATGTACAGTCTCCCAATCATTGGTGCCTTAATGAATACGCATGACTGGCCCTAGTGCTTGCTATTCTCCGGTGCCACTGAGTCGAGCGCCGAGACCCCATGCTCAACAGAACAAAACGTAGCTGGGTCCAGGACCATTGGATGGCCCTAATGCAGATATGGTTAATTCAATAATGTAAATGACTGTGCGAGGCCCCCCTTCTCTTCCTGCAGTTAGTTGCCAGAGGCCTACTGGCCCAGCTGTTTCAGAAAACAGTGCCCTCGGGATATCTTCAAACACAGGAGTCAAACCAAGTTCTCTGTCCCACACTAGAGCTATTTCTCCAGGATGGTCCCCACACCTCCTCCTGACGGTTCTCCACTTAGTCACGGCTAGGATACTTACTTTCCAAAGTCTAACTCCGAGAATGTCTCCCCGCCCCAGCTTAACAGCATCCTCCAGATAAAGCTCCTCTACCCATCCTTCCAGACAAACGCTCTCCTCACCCCAGCGTTGCCCTGCCTCAGTTCGGCCTCACCTTCCAAACTACACGCGCGGCCCTATCCTAGGAGCTTCCCGATCTCATACCTCGGGCTGCCAGAAGTGGGGTATCCCACTCATGCACAGCCCACTGGCCTGAGGCCAGGGGACCAAAGTCTCTTTGGAGCAGCGAAAGAGAAAGGCGCCTAGAAAGAGTTCCTCTCTCAGTTGGGACTCCAGTCCACGGGAGGTGGGGGTCCTGAGCTCCCGCACTCACCTGCGCCTGGTGCGTCAGCGCCCACGTTGCCATTGGATACCGGAGGCAGGCGGAGAGGCACCGGCGACTCCCAGCCTATAGCCACTCCGCCAGCGGCTCTGGGCCTGTACCCTAGTTGGTTCAGCACGCAGAACGCTGCTTCCCGGCGGCTGCAGGGGCCCGGGAGTGCACGTGGTGTGGAGAGCGCACAGGACGACCCCAGGGAACCCCCTACCCTACGAGCGAGGGAAACTGAGGCTGGGGGAGCGGAGCCGCGTGTGCTGTAACGAGGCGCGTGCGGGGGCGAGAGGCAGGCGAGGCCTCCGTGGCGCCTTCCTCGCTGCTCGCCACTCTGGCCCCCAGAGCCTCCCCTAACACCCGACCCGCCTGACCCGCCCAGCTCCAGCGCTGGTGTGGCCCGGACTCCCGGCAGCAAAGTGACAAGCCTAAAGGTCGGAAGTCCAGCCCCCTCCCGGGCCTTATTGGCCCAAGCGCACTGCGAACGCTCGAGCAGAACCTTCTGGGTAATGGCGATCCCTCTCACCTCCTCCCAGTCCCCAGTGCCCAGCCCGATCTCCATGGCAACGAACAAGAGTCACTTCGAGGGATGCTGGGAAATGGAGTCCTGAGAACGCGCTCTTCCATGCCCGAATATACTCAGTTACCCACGCTCACTTTCACTGTTTCACTGCACGCTCTGTCTACATTGACACACACACACACACACGCTCTGTCTTCCCTCTTTCTTGGGGGGGCGGGGGGGACGACGACGACAACTTATGTTTTTGTCCCACTGATCCCTAGAGGGAAAAAGACGGACAAACAATGATAGTATAAATCCAAAGCTCACTGCCGCCAAGAGTGGATGCCAACTCGGCGACATCGCCCGCCCTCCCCTCGTGGATTTCTGAGACTTACCAGGCGCAGAAAGCCCCATCTTCCCCCCTGCGAGTGGTTGGTGGTTTCAAACCTCAGCCCATGCAGATCACAGCCCAATGTGCGCCGGACCTGGTGCGCCACCAGGACTCACGAAGAGTATCGCGAGGGAAAAATAAAACAAAACCCTCGGCCATCCAGCCGATGCCGGCTCATAGCGACTCCATAGCACAGGGTGGAACTGAAGCGCCCGTGAGTTTCCGAGACTTGTAGAAAGCCGCGTCTTTCTCCCGCGTGTTGTGAGGAAGAGCATTCTAAAAATGGAAACTCTTAACACGGCTGAATTCTAATTTAGTCATGCCAAATCCTTGCTTGTATTGAGACTCCATTTCGTACTTTTCTGTCATCCAATGCGCGGGAGAAAGACTGGGCTTTCTCCTCGCGTAAAGAGTTTGTCTCGGAAACCCACTGGGATGGTTCTAACCTGTTCTGCAGGGCTGCGGCTGTGAGTAGGCATGTACTAGGTGACAGTGAACTTGGTGGTGCTTGTTTGGTCATACAATGCAGCCTATTCTGTAAAAATTTCCACTAAATCTTTGACCTGGCCATGAGCAGTTCTACAGAAAGATGTGGTTTTGCTTACCTTAAATACATAGATGTTGCAGAGACCAGTCAGTTGTGGTTCAACTGGAGAGAAATGTACACGTAGTGTCTGAATACCCCAAAGTGAGAGATGCCGGCAGCTTTTCTGTATTTAAACCCTCTGACTCCTGGCATTTTCACTTGTGATCCCTTTTGTTCAACAAACTTTTTGCTTTTTAAAAAACTTTTGCTTTTATATTTTAGCAGACCCCACCAACATATTGAAGACCTAACTCCATTATTGCTCCCTTGACCACTGTTAAGAAAACCTTGCAACGTTGCTGACGTCGGAAACTGGCCTCTGGTGCTTAGGTGATCTAATCATTTGCCAGGAACCGTGTAATTCAGGTGGTCAGTTGGTTCTCAAAAAGTCTGTAAACCCTACTTTAGAACATCCTGTATCTATATTTTTAAATTGTCACAGGAAACTTCAGAGTCAGTCAAAATTCTGTCACCCAGAGCCATCCTTACAAGGGCAGGCAACTCCTACATAAGAAGTCAACCAAGATCTTGTTGCCACAGCTTTGTAAATCCTGTCCACATAGAACCCAAATGTCCCCGTTTTGATTGTGGCTTTTATCTTTATTGACTCTGTCAGGTAGCTTCGGAGATGGATACTTTGTGCGAGAGCTCTTTGACTGTTTCTGTTTTGCAAAAGGCTCTTTCGCCACAATAAACTGTTCTCAATTCTAAACAGACTCATCGTTTTTTTCACAATGACAAATGGTGCTCGAATTCTGGTGTTCTTTCCAAACCTGGGTGCTACTACTTCCTTTTCAGAATCTTCCAACAGTTTCTCTGTACATTTGCTCTCAGTTTTATAGCTGCCTTCGGTGAGAGAGAGATGATGAGGTGTTCTTATTTGATCTTACCTGGCATTCGACTTTTATTTTTAAAGTGTGTAGGTTGTTTTTTTTTTTGCCCTTTAAACCTGTTCTTTTTGAAGGAAGAATATGCGAATGTGTGGCCTTGAACCGTTAGAGAGGAATCCCAGCACAAGAGTTTATCTGAACAGGTCTGGATGTGGATTGGCCTGGGTCTGGAAGTCCCTGTGGCTGACGCAGCTTCCTTTATGCTGTGGTGATGAGCATGGGTGAAGGAGAAAAGCTGATGAAAACTGAAGGCCTTGGCATCTTTTTCAGGTTTTATTTCATTCTAAGGGGCCAGGGGAACTGTGACGCTAGGGGTCCCTCGCTCCACAATCTCTGGAGGAAGAGTTGCGTATGGCTAAGCTGCAGCTGTGCAGGGATTCACAGTGGGGGTCCCGCCTCCAGGCGATAGCACTGCATCTGGCCACTGCTGCTGGGTTATCCAGAGGACCCCCCAAGCCTGGAGGCCAGTCTTTATAATGCTTGCCATGATTTCAAGTTCTTGAAACTTCCTGGGACTCTTAATTCCTTTTGTCACCTTGCAGTTAGAGCTGAGATGCACAGTTGGTCACCAGTTAGAGATGATGAGGCTGGAGAAATTGAGGGTCCAGTCCTGAAAGCAATGGCATTCACTGAGATGGGAAATTGCACAAATTATTGGGGGAGAGAGGAGAGAAGGAGAGGGTGATGGATGCTCAGTATCTCTGTGTGGAAGCATCCCAGGAGGGGTTTTCTCTCTGTCTAAAAGCCAAAACCAGTAGCCAGGATTAACGTCTACACCCTACACAAAGGTTTTAATAACTTCACATCCTATTTAATATTTGGAAAACATACAGGGCCAACACATTAAATTTTGTAAGACCTGGATATTTTAGTTCCTAGGGGCAAGACAAAGCAGAGAATAACCTAAGTTAAACTCAGCCTCCGGTAGTAGAAGACAAAAGCTATGGCTGCTCAAGTTACAAGGAAGCCAAGCCACCTCCAAGACTCCTGACTCACCTCTCAAGTCCAGGGACCCCTTCAGTACTGGAACAGTATCCGGGCAGACAGCTCAGGGGAGGCAAGGAAGTGCACCAGAAAACGGACTGTCTTTGCTCAGATCATGATCTTGTCCAGAAAAGAATCCAGGTCTGCATTCAAGACTTCACACAGCCATTCCACGTTGCTACAGTCAATCAACACGATAGAGCTATAAGCATTTGATGTGGCTTAGAGCCCATCTAACTTGACATAAACTTCCCTAATCCTTATTCAAGTTTCATATACGAGGCAACTGAAAATAGCATGGCTTTGGTCAGGTGCACCTTAGTCCTCAAAGTAACATCCCTTGTTTTTCAGGACTCTAAAGAGGTTTTGTGCAGCAGATTTACCAAATGCAATGTGTCTTTTGATCTCTTAACTGATGAGTTTGAATTGCGGTGCTGGAAAAGAAGATAAAGTCCCATGAGCTGCTAAAAGGACAAACTGACCTGTCTTGGAAGAAGTATGGCCAGAATGTTCCTTAGAGCCCAGGATGACAGGACTTCGTCTTTCATACTGTGGACATGTTATCACCAGTCCCTGGAGAAGCACATCATGCTGGGTAAGGTTGAGGGGGAGGGAAAAAGAGGAAGACCCTCAATGAGATAGACTTACACAAAGGTTGCAACAATGGGTTCAGGCACAGGAATCTATGTGAGGGTGGCGCAGGACAAGGCAGTGTTTCATTCCATTGTGCACAGAGGGTTGCTATGGGTTGGGACTGGGTCAATGGGCACCTAACAACAAAAATCTTTATCACTTTACAGCCAGTGTTCCTTTACCGACTTTTAATGCCACCAGGAACTATGCCTACTAAGGTCTAGTCTTCTAGGGTCATGACATCTGGCCAAGCACAGCTCCACCTTAAGTAGCATCTGTACTATAACTCTTCAAATGGCCTTTTGAAAGAAGAGCTCTTTTGGCTGCTCCAAGCCACCCAGAGTCCAACACAGACCCTCTTCCTCCTCAGGGTGAGCTCTCGGCCTACAGCTAACCCTGGATCTAGGCCACAAGTTTAACCTTCTGAGCTTTTCAGACTTTCCTAAGGAAGAGCCTACCATCTCACTGTGTCCCTGTGGCAGAAGCTGTGGGGTGCTCCCTAAAGCTGTTACCCTCTTATCATATTGCTCCATCATTTTTGTGTTCAACTAACTGTATGAGATAAAACAGAAATTCAAAGTCCAAAGAGATTAAGTCAAGCCAATTTTTTTTAGTTCAGGGCAGTTCAAGACAGGCATTTCAAAGTGTGGCGACTCCTGGGCTCATTAACAAATTCATGAGGGTCACATACAGAAATAGCAATATCCATGAAGAATCGTCCCTAGAACCCCCCCCCCCCACCCGTCCAAGGAGACACTCCATCAGAATCCCACGGCCATTTAAAAGTTAAACCCAGCACTGGCACAGGGGCCACCTTCCCCAACATGTGGGAGGTGACGGCCCCACAGGTGTAGCCAAGGTGAGAGTGGCAGCTAGGCTCAGATTTCTAGACAAATCACCATGTGCAGTGTCCCCTCTGAAGGCTGGCTCATATATATTTGGTACCCATTCCTTATCTCTTCAATGTGGCGATTGTATGGTGCATTTAGCTCAATTTATAATGGAGCTTTCACTCACAAAAGCTGCTCCTTGGCTGCCTCTGTCTTCTTTTATACCAAACAAGGTTCTAGAGTTGACTGAAGTGTGTCCACATTCCCTGTATACAAGATATTCCTCCAGTTCAGATGAGGGGCTGCAACTGGAAGCACTTCTACACTGGATGCACATGAACTTCCTGGTGCCGAGTTAGGCTAAATTGAGGCAAAAAGCTTCCCCACACTCGCTAGATTCATAAAACCTTTCTCCAGTGTGGGGCCCGACAAAAGTGGAGCCTTCTCTCAAGGCATTCCCACACTGGCCACACACAAGGCCTTGCTTTGGTGTGAACTTTCTGGTGTTTACTATGTGGGGAGATGGCGGTAAATGCTCTCCCGTGTTCCCTGCACTAAGGAGGCCTTTCTCCAGTGTGGAGTCTCTGGTGTTGAATGAGGCTGGAGTCGCAGCTTTCCCACATGCACTGAAGTCCTCGGGTTTTTCTCCAGTATAAACTTCCTGGGACCCAGTAAGGTAGAATCTGTGAGAGTGGTGCCCTCTCACTGCAGTAAGAAGAACTAAGGAGAACTGGCTTGCCGAACAAAGTCTAGCTTTCACCAAAAGCTTCTCACAATCCTGGATTCAAGGCCTTTCCAAGGTACACACTTATCATGGGAAGAGCTGCGCCTAAAGCCTTTTCCTCATCTGTTACAGTCCTACGGTCTTGTGAACACTCTGGTTCTGAGAGTGCATGAGTTTACTATTGCTGCTCTATTACCATACTCCTTCTGCCTTAAGACACAAGTTTATTATCTTACAGCTACAACAAGGCGTCAGCAGGGCTTTTTTTTTTTTTAACACTTTTATTGGGGGCTCTTATATCTCTTATCACAGTCCATACATTCACCCAGTGTGTCAGCACATTTGCACATATGCCGCCATCATTTTCAAAGCATTCTCTTCCCACTTGAGCCCCTGATATCAGCTACCCATTTCTTCCCCCTCCTTCCCACCCTATGAACGTTTGATAAATCATAGATTACTTTTTTCCATATCTTGCATCGGCCTCCGTCGCCCCTCACCCACTTTTCCATTAGCTGTCCCCCTGGGAGAGGGTTCTAGGTAGATCCCCTTCTGGAGGCTTTCGAGGAGATTCCATCCCCTTGTTTCTTCCAGCTTGTCCTGAATTTAGCTGTTCAAAATGCAGGCGTCACAGAAGGTACCTGGGAAATGGCCCCGTCGGAGAACTGGTAAGCGAGCTCTTCCTAGGTGTCTCTGCAGGAAAAACAGGACAACAGATTCCAAAGGTTTTCCCTCCATCTTTGAGGATTATAGAGTGCTTTTTTATGCCTCACCTTCGCCGCTCCGTTTTTCCCCTTCTGGGCAGGCCGATAGAGGCATTCCCCTTCGTGTATGCCTCTTCCTTTACTGCTGGAGGGAAAGGTAAACCTAACAATTCCCAAGCCTGTGAGTGGAAACTTTTCCGAAGTCCCACCCTTTAGCTACTATAAAGCCCCCACCCCACTTTACGGAGGAGTAAACTTTGTCTCCGATCCTTAGTATGTGAAGTATTATCCACCTTGACAGGCTGCACCAAGTTTCAGTCCACTATGTGTATGTAGTGTGACCACAAACATCACCTACACAACCTGTGTAGAGTAGTTCCTCAGGGAGTGGTGTTCTCCTGCATGAAGTGTATCTTCTGTCTGACGCTCTCTCACAGATACTCAGGGCTTCTCTGAGCGGGGGTCCTTTCGTGCTGGAGGAGGCCGCACTGACAGCTGTGTCCTGCTGCACTCCCAGGCCCCTCTTTTGCGTGCTGAGCAAATGAACGGCTCTGGATGAAAGCATCCTGGCAGGCACTGCGTGCATACAGGCCTACTTAGTGCGTGCTTTTGGGTGTTTACTAAAAGTTAGGTCTATAGCTAAGGGCCATAGTATTGCACATGGTAGACATTTCTGTAGTATGAGCTCTCTCAATGAATAAGGGGTAGGGTGTTGGTTGGACGGTTCCTGTGTTTGGTACAGCCACGTGGTCTTTCTTCTGTGTTAATTTTGTGAGGTGGGTGCTTTGGCTGAAAGCTTTCCACATTAACTGTGTTTCTAAGACCTTTCTCCTGGGTGAACTTTCTGTTATCAAACTATGCGGCGCTGGTGTCTAAGAACGTTCCCACATTTGCCGTATCATCAGATCTTTCCATGGTGTGAACAACTTGGCGCTGTACCAGGGCAGAGCTTTCACCAAAGGCTTTTCCACATTCTCGGCGCTCAGTAGGTCCTCCCTCCTCCACTGTCTCCTTTCTGGTGCTTAATTAGCACGTGGCTCGACCAAAAGCATTTCCACACTTCATGCGCTTGTACGGCCTTTCTCCAGAGTTTAACTTTGCTCTGCGTTTTCAGTTCCGACAGGCAACTGAAGGGCTTCTCCCCCTCCTTACACACACAGGCCATTTCTGCAGGGTGAGTTTTTCCCGTGAGCTACAAGAGCTGGTTTCTCTCCAAAAGCCTTTCTGCCTGCTGGACAACCAGTCTCTCTCCAGGCAGATGCGCAGGGTGAAGCTCTTCAGGGAGGCTTTCTTCCGGTTGTTGCTCTGAAGGGTCTCAGCATGGGATAGACCCCGTGAGCTGCCTGAGGCTGGAGCTGTGGGGGACGCCCCCCACTGGGCTGGAGAAGTCATAGGCTGTCTGTGGAGGATTTCTCTGCAGCGGGCACCTTTGGCGCAGCGTCACAATTGAGGCCTCACACTCACCCCAATAAAAAGGTTTCGTTTATGTTGAAGGATGGTGCAGAACCAGCGCTCTCTCCCACGTGCCCCACCCATGTGCAGTGTCTACCCAGGGCTTGTCCCGATGCCCCACTACGTAGAAGATCTCGATGAAGATCTGACCACCTGGGTTCTAGGGGTACACCTTCAGGTTAGCAAGGCTGGCATGGGGACTGTGGGCCTGTGGTGTTACTTCTCCAGAACTCTCCTGTCCCTTCCATGCAAACTGCCTGAGAGCAGAGAAATGCCTTCTTTCCGTGGCACAATAGGGAGCGGGCAAGTTCACTCTGAACAAACTTCTACTACTCTCAGAAGTGATTCTGTGGGATTTTGCAGATCAGGGGCAGGCATCAAGGTGAACAAGGCTCTGCCCTGCTCCACAAGACCACAGTATGAGCAAACCTGAGGAGGGTCAAACATCCAGTGTGGCCAGCAGAATTTCCTGCTCACTAACATGATTCAATATGCCCTCTGTCAGAGGGCAAATAGCATAACACCTGTTACTTTGTAGGACTATGCTTGAAAGCTGACACTAGAGTGTCTCGCACAGAGAGGAAAAAGTATGGAATGGGAAGACGGTAAGCGTGGGAAGCAGAAAGATTTCTCCCAAGTTGTCTCCCCCAACTATATGCCAAACGTAGCTGCTTGCTACACTTGGCGAATGACTATACATTTGGAGGTCAACAGAAGGAGGTCAGGGGTTATTTTCTCTAAGGGTTATCAGCCATCCAGAACAAGCAGACACCACTGTTTATCCCACAACAAGTAGGGCCCCACTCCCTTCTCATAAGAATAGTAGATTGTTTCCCTGAAGGAGAGCTCAGGGAGGTCAAGCCCACTCAAGGGTGACCAAGTTTAGGCCGCCATCGTGAATCTAGGGTCCACCCTTCTTGTCACATGTATACCTCTAGTTCCTCCCATTCCTATGTTCACACCCCTAGCTCATTTCCTTTCTGTCACACTTATGCCTATTGTACTGCCCCTTCCTGTGATGTGTATGCCTATTGTACTGCCCCTTCATGTGACATGTGGTTATCTGTGATCATGCCCCCCTAAGTAGATATAACCCTTGGTTAGTAATAAACGGGGGAGCTAACTTCAACTCTTTTTATGGTAAAAGAGCAAAGATGGCGTATCTTAGCTGTACATTGGTGAGCTTGGCCATAGCCAGTTCACATTTGTGACCTGTTTACCACTTACATACATCAAGAGTTTCGAAAGTATAAACAATTTCCTCTCCATGTGTCACTGAGTGATTGGATTAATGTCAAGAGGGGGATGTTAAAGGCTCCTGGGAAATTCGAACTAAAAGTAACGGGAGTTTTTCCATGACCTTCTTAAAGCCCCCTCTTGTTTAAATGAAAGCATCTCATGCAGTTTTCTAAAGAGGAACTATTATATTCTCTCAAGTTCTTGTCATAGGAGTTTTCTGCTAAATAAAACTTCACACCAATCTAAAAAAGAAAAGAAAAAGAAGAAGAAAGTGGAAATGAGGTTCAGACACTGACCTTGGCACTGGGACAGTGACATGCACAGTCTCAACCCCACCCCCAAATGCCACCCCCAAGAGAGGCCTCTTCCTGGCCTCTCTCAACACTAGGTTTACAGACATTTCTTTTTCTATTAAAAATTTTTTAACAAATCACTTTATTGGAGGCTCTTATAATAATCCATACATCAATTGTATCAAGCACATTTGTACATATGTTGCCATTGTCATTTCCAAGCATGTTCTTTCTACTTGAGCCCTTGGGATCAGCTCCTCTTTCTTCCCCTCCCACCCTTGTGAAACCCTTGATAATTTATAAATTATTTTTATTTTCATATTTTATACTGCCCACTGTCTCCCTTCACCCGTTTCTGCTGTTCACCCCGGTGAGGGCCTGGGGGTTGTATGTTGATCACTGCGATTGGTTCTCCCTTTCTCCCCCTTCTCCCCTCACCCTCATGGTATCAATATTTATTGGTCCTGAGGGGACAGATATTTTATCTATCCTAGATTCTGTGTGTTGAGAGCTCTTATCTGTACCAGCATCCATGCGCTGGTCTAGCCAGGTTTGTAAGATAGAGATGGGGTCTTGACAGCGCGGGGAGGAAGCATTAGAGAACTAGAACAGCGTTTCTCAAACTATGGGTTGAGGCTCCTTTGGGGGCTGAACGACCCTTTCACAGGGGTCACCCGATTCATCACAGTAGCAAAATGACAATAAGGAAGTAGCAATGAAAATAATGTTATGGTTGGGGAGGGGGTCACCACAACCTGAGGAACTGTATTAAAGGGTCGCGGCATTAGGAAAGTTGAGAACCACTGAACTAGAACAATGTTGTGTGTTTTATTGGTGCTATACTGAACCCTGGCTGGCTCGTCCTTCCTTGTGACCCTTCTCTGAGAGATGTCCAATTGTCTACAGATGGGCTTTGGGGTCTCCATTCCGAGCCCCCTCATTCGTATTGAATGGTTATTTTGGGTCTTGTGATGCCTGATATCTGATCCATCGACACCTCATGATCACACAGGTTGGTGTGCTTCTTCTGTGTGGGCTTTGTTGCTCCCCTGCTAGATGGCCACTTGCTTAACTTCAAGTTTTTAAGACCCCAAACACTATATCTTATAATAGCCGGGCACCATCAGCTTTCTTCATCACATTAGCATATGCACCTATTTTGTCTTCAGTGATCATGTAGAGAAGGCGAGCATCACAGAATTCCAGGTTATCAGAACATGTTCTTGTACTGATGCAGGACTTGAGTAGAGGCCCAATGTCCCAGCCACTTCTTACATATCTATCTATACAGACATGTGCCAAGTTGACACGTGAACAAAACCACACATTTTATTTAAAAAACAACTTATTTTATTTACAAATAACATAATTATACACTATTAACGCATAATTAAACTATGTGATACTGCATATTATATAAAATTTATGGTATTTAACATTATACATCAAATAAGGTAGTGGGTTCAATGTATCATAAAGGTCACTTGGGTCAGTCAACATGCCAATCCCCACTACATTGTTTGTCTTTACATATGATGTTTACTTTTTAAGAACTTTTTGACTATGTTTATATTTATTTATTTTTAAAAATAATCATTTTATTAGGGGCTCATACAACTCATCACAATCTGTACATACGTCATCTGTGTCCAGCACTTTAGTACATATGTTGACTTCATCATTCTTACGACACCCACTTTCCACTTGAGCCCCTGGATGTTTATATTTATTACTGAAATAATGCTTTCATAAATGAAACCGGTTTACTGGGATTAATAATTTCTGTTCGCATCAAATTGACACATATCCGCAGAGATAGGTATATCACAGATAATTTCAATGTTAGAAGGCTTAGAAAATTAACTTGAATATACAGTTGTCTCATTAAATGGATAAAAAGTCAGTATAAATGGTAGGAGGGATATGTAAAGCTTCTGTAATTTTCATTGATGAAAATGAAATGCACCAAAATGATGTGTCCTAGCGGGGGAGGGAAGGAAAAGAGAGGAGCTGATACCAAGGGCTCCAAATAGAAAGTAAGTGTTTAGAAAACGACGATGGCAACATATGTACAAATATGCTTGATACAATTAATGTAGTGAATGTTATAAAAGCTGTACAAGCGCCAATAAAACGATTTTTTTTTAAAAAGTGTCCCGTAAAGTGAATGCTAATGTGGTCACAACTGCATCCTCCCAGCCAGAAGCCCTCAGCTCCTGTTGAGTTCCAGAAAAAAGACCCCCTTGAGTGAAGTGGCCACAAGTCCTGTGGAGAAAGACAGGGCAGGGCAGGTGTCTTGCCTGTCTGTCCGAGACCCACCTGGAGGAAGACCATGAGGAGCCTGCTTCATCTTTACTATTCAACAGGGAAAGGACTGCCAAAAAATGAATCTTTAGGGAGAGTTTTGTAGGATCAGTCTAGTAGTTTCTGAAAGCAATAACCACATCTAGACCCTCAGATCTTGGCACCAGGTAGCTCTTGGGAAATACCTGTTGGAGAAGGGGAGAAGAATTCATGTTACAGAGAGGTCACAGCTTCTGCCAGATGACCCTGCTTGGGAATGGCCAAACCCAGTGCACTTACTGGACGCAGGGAGACAATCCTGACACATGCACACACACCCCACCCCACCCTCAGCCACTGTAACCCTGTGGCAACAGGTGTCCGGTGGCTCAAGGAGAGCAATAGTCACTGTCCACGGTGCCAGCTGAGGCCCCAACAACTCCTCTGACGAGGAGCACTTCAAGAAGCCTCAGCCAGAGAGGCCAGGAGTGGGAAACTCCCCAGCACCACATCCCGGTCAAGGTTCTTTGGGGTCACAGGAGAGGTACTGTCATACCCTCCAAGTCACCAGGTGCTGTGATGATGGGGACAACAGGTGATCCTCTGAGGCCAATGAGTGAGGGGACACTTTTAAGCTCTGGCCTTGGGCCCCAGGGGTCCTTGCCCTTTCCCTGGCAGCACCTCCTAGATAGACCCCCAGCTCATCTTCCTCCCAAAGCTCCCATTTCAGAGTGGACACCACTCACCAATGCTCCCAGGTCCCACTGGTCATCCGGTCCAACCCACCGCCTCAATACTCAGTTGACACTCTCCCATCCAAGTGTGGCAGCCACGGTCCTGCCCACTGTACTCGTAGACACCTTCCTGGTTGCTCCGCACAGCATGCCTTCTGATCATAACGAGCCCCCAGCCTGGGCTCGCCCCACATGACTTGGTCTGACTGTTGCACCCGCCTTACTTACTGCAGCCATCAGTTTCAACAGCTCTTCCCCACCACCACCACCGGGGCCGCCCCCACCCCCCCATCTGACCTCTTCACAGGCCACTCTGCACACAGCAGCTAGAGGGACCCTGGAAGTCACAGCCAAAATCCAATTCCATTCCTGACTTGCAAAAAAACTCTCTTGGCTGCCCCTGACTTATCATTCCAGACCTTCTACCTGTCTCTGTCCTTGCTACATCCTTCAACTGCAAATAAATACCCAGCTTCTCAAACCCTGGGCCACTCAGAGGATAAACCCACCTACCAGGAGCTCCTGCAGTGTAGCAAATGGTCACTCCACACAGGAAGCCACCTCACAATGCTCTTCATTCAAAGCAAACCACATGGTCTGCCTTCTCTGGTACCTTTTAGATCCCTCTAGCCACCTGCACATACTCCAACACTGTGCTCACCGTGGGACTCCCATCCCCATCTTGTCTAAAGCTCTCACCATCCCCTGTCCTGTCTCGGATACCACTATGCCCTAGACGACTGCTGAAGGTTCCTCACTGCCCTCCCCACTTTTCCCCTTACTCGAGGGTGTTCATACATCTGCCAGAAGACCTCTTACCATCAGAATAAAGGCCCAGCTCTTTAACCTCCTGTTGCAACCAAAATCCTCCACTCAGGTACTCGATTTCCATTAACTAGAAGGCCTCTGAGTCCCTTGAGTCCCTTGAAAATCATGGCTCAGTCTCATAGACAAGCCTGAAAAGTCCTTATCTCTACTGGCATACAGACTTCTGGTCTGGGATATGGGCACAGACTCAGGGTGCGTCTATCCTTTCAGGGTGCTGACCGTCTTAAAACAAATTAAGTGGTAGACCCACGAACATTGGGGTCCAAAGACCTTGGAAAGCAGGATTATGGTACATGTGTACAAGTGGAACCCTTCCTTCACCTGACACGAATCCGGTAGCACAGCAGTTGCCCTGAGAACCTATGGATCGATGTCACAGGTGTGTGGCGTGGCTGGGCAAGAAACAGCACCGACGTCTGGACGACCTCAGGGAGTAGGCAGCCCCACCTCTGTCTCTCACTGAAAATACTGGGAAAATACTCAAGATGTCTTTCCTGAAAGGCTGTGGTGGATGGCTAGGCTTCTGCACAGGCTAAGGAGGGCATCTCAAGGGGCTGCCCATTTTACTGCTGGGGAAATTAGGGTTCGGGGAGATGAAGACATTCTCACGTCCTCTGGACATGTTGTCAAAAGAGGCCAGTCCCTGGGCAAGGACATCATGGTTGGTAAAGAGGAGGGGCGGCGACAAAGAGGAAGGGCCTCGACCGACGAGCTGGGTGAACATAGTGGCTGCAACACTGGACTCACACATTCACAGCAGTTGTGAAGACGATGCGGGGCTGGGGCGTGTTTCTCTCTGTAGTGCATGGAGTCGCCATGAACTAGAGCCAATCTGATGGCACCTAACATTATCATCGACAACCACCCAGGACGAAGACGCAAAGAGGCAAAAGGCAGGGCGCCTTCTCAGTCTCCCCCACTTTTGTCAACTAAACCCAGATGCACCTGCCCAGGAGGCATTCAGGATGCTCAAGTCCACTGAAATAACCCTGACTCCACGCCTGGAAGTCACGTCTCCACTGGTGTGCACACAAACACAATTTTAAAAGCCCTCTCTCCTGGGCCACTATTGGCCAACGTCTATGGCGCAATGCCTTGCAGGCACTGCAGTTTTAATCCAGCTTCAACAAAGGCTACCCTTTCTGATTTCCACGGTACCAACCAAACGAGGGGCGTTGGGAAATCAGGTCCAGGTCAGTCGGTTTACTGTTGACCCGTGCGAGGCTCAGCAGCTGACGGGTCAGAGGCCCAGGTCCCCGGGTGCAACTGGATGTCCAGCCGAAGACCATGGCTGTGCTGACGGGCTAGCACTCTTGGGGAAGGATCTCTAGGGTCCTGCCCACCAGGATTCCAAGCCTTGGTGTTCAGAAGCTGTGAGTGAAGACACCTGGCCTGAGATCACTTTTGGTCCAGATCTCGTGTCCGGCCACGGCAGAACATGCAAGAGTGGAAAATCCCACTTCTGCCACCTGATGGGATGAAATGTGAGCATTCCAGGTAGAAAGATCAGCTGGGCCAAAGGGTTGAATTGAGCCTGAAACGAGGACCTTGGGAAAACCTGAATTCCTTTCCTTCTGCTGGGACCAGAAAGCCTAGGGGAGGGTTCAGCCTAGGGAGGGGACTGAAGAACTGGGCTTTGATGCAAGGGCATGGAAAGGAGGGAGTGAAAAGTAAGGGATGGTGTTGGAGTTAGGGTTTAACATGGAGCCCTGTGACTTCTGTGTGAAGGCGTGATGAGGCCAGGGAAGGTGGGGCTCCCCCACCAGGAAGGAGGTGACTGCAACAATGGAGGCCATGGTGGTTGCAGTCTGAAGTCGCTGGATTCTGAACCTCTCCCTTCCAAGGAGAAAGGCTGTGGGATGTGCTGATGAGTCCCAGGATGGGGTGGGTGGTGGTGACAGGAGACCTAGGATGACTCCAAGGACTGAGGCGTGAGCAGGGGAAGAACAGAGCCCACAGAGACGGAGAAGGGCCCCACTGCAGGTTTCAGGGGGAAAGAGAGGAGCTGTTTTAGGATTTTTGTCTGAGATGCCCCAAAACCCTCAGAGTGAAGAGGTGACGTGGTCAAGTGGAAACACAGGCCTGATAGGCTGGATATGTCTGAGGAGTGGATGGCTGGACATCTTGACCACTGTGAGGTGGTGCTTCAGCTTAAGCACTGTTCTACTAATCCAAAGGCTAGTGGTTCAAACCCACCAGCCAGCCACTCTTAAGGAGAAAGATGAAGCTTCTGTTCCGGTAAAGATTTACAATCTCAAAAACCTACATGAGTTCAATATGAGTTTTAATGGTAGAGGTTTGGTTGTGGTTTTTTGTTTTCTTTACGATCATAGTAACATCTGGACCCAGAAGGGAAATGGGCTGGCCAAAGTTTGCTAGAGAGCTTCACAGAAGGGATGGGCTGCAGAACGAAGGGGGCAGGGGACTTGAAGAGGGTCTGGTGAGTTGCTGAGGACGGCACAGGCTGCACCCAGAGGGGAGCTTGCCTTGGGACTGAGGCTGTGGGCTAGTGTACACAGGAAGAGTTGAGGGGAGAGCCTGGCCTGTTGTAAGTTCAATCTCAGGGGGCTTTGGCAGGCCTTGTGGACATCTCCTGGAGTGTAAAGGAAAAGTCAGCCAAGCTTCTGGAGCAACACCAAATCAGAGAAATCTATGGGGTTGCTGAACCCGGTCAGTCACAGAGGTGTCTGGAGATGGGAGTAGATGATGTGTTCCAACCTACCCCCTGGTATTTTGCCCCCACCCCCCGAAGTGTAGGTAATGCCATCTTGCCTTAAGGCCATGTTCCCTATAGCCCACTGCCCTGTTGTTAGTTTGCTATATCGAGCTATCCTGTTAATTTTCCAAATCTAAGTTTGTAGCTTTCAGGTTAACTCTCCACCCCCGTTGCAGGATTTTAATTCTCAGATATTATGAATGTACTCCAAGCTTGTTTTAGGATGTTATGTAGCCTAAAGCTTCTTTTGACATCTGTAATCAGCTTGGCTAATTAGAGTGGAATGTCTGTACTCCACAGCTCCCAGTGAAGTGGCTTGGGCGTTGCCATGGAGAATGAGGGTCGTCCGGATGCTGGGCAGAAACTACATTACCCAGAACACACTGTAAAGTGGGCAGCAGACCCTGGGCCAATGACAGAGCTGGAAAGAGCACGTCCTGCGGGGTACGCTGGTGGGGCGGGACTTCCGGCATCGGCAGCCATTGACGTTCATTCTATTTCTGTGGGGTCTTTGCATGTGCCCTTGGGATCCAGTACCTGTAAGGGACTCCCCTTAGGGGCCTAGCCGGGAATAACTGACGAGGAGGGACCCTACTCCCTCTTTCAGTCTTTAAACGGGCGGAGACTTCCTGTAGTACGGTTGTCAAGTCCCGGGGAGCTGCTTGGTCCCTGGCGGAGGCGTTTGAGGCCTGGGCTCTTTGAAGCCCAGCGTGAGGCGGTCAGCCCGAGGTCACCTCCTGGGGCTGGGAAAGCGGCGGCGGTCGGCGGCAGTGGCTGAAGCCAGCTGTGTCGCACTGCCCCAGTCCTCTGCTCTCGCGACTTTGCACCGTCTGCAGGCTCAGATGGAGGTGGCACTGCTGGAGCCCGCTCAGGTGAGAAGAGGGTGCCCTGCACCTTGACTCACTCAGACCACCCCGCACAAAGTGTAGGGCGTTGTCCCCAGTGCACTTCTCTACCTTGCCCTTGCTACTGGAATTACTTAAGGTCCACGATCCCTTACCCTAGCTAATGGTTATATGAAATGATCGAATGTCTAGATTAGAATCTAGTGGGAAGAGAACACACACACACAGAGAGAAATCTGCCTTAGAAGTACAGCCAGAATGCTCCTTAGAGGCAAGGGCGGCGAGACTTCATTGGTCTACTTTGTACATGTCATGAGAGGCAGTCCCTGGGGAAGGACATTGGGCTTGACACAGTGGCGGCATCACTAAGCTCAGACATAAAGGCAATTGTGAGGTTGGCACAGGACTGCCACTGTCTCATCCTGTCGTCCATAGTCAGAATGGACGTGAGGCCCCTAACAACAGAGTGGGAAACTTTCTGACAGGTGGCGCAGGGTCTGCAAGAGCTGGGAGATGAGGCTGGGCTAGTAAGGTTCAGGGAGCCACAGGTCTCAAGAAGGCTAGTGGAGACCCAAAAGGAAGCAGGAGTAGGGCCTGGAGCGGCAGCTATGGGAGCTGAGCCTCCACTCTGAGGGTGGTGCAAAACCATGTAAGGCTTGGAGCTCATGAAGGAAGGAGGTGATCTGACTCAAGTCTTAACAGTCTTCCTCTGGCTGCAGAGTGGGGGAAAAAAGACAGGAGACTGGTAAGGATGTCACCATAATAGATGAGATGCAGGGAGTGATGACAATGGCTCGCCAACGTGGTGCTTGTGGAGATGGGCCTAGTGGTTGGGCACTGTGTGTATTCAACACAATCAACTGATGTAGAGGCTGAGAGAGGGGGAGAAGTCAGGGATGACCCTGTGGTGGATTTGGCCTCATCAACCAGACAGATGGGAAATTCGTCAGGGTTCAGGAGGCAGGTTTCTGGACATGCTGATGCTGAGATATCCATGAGACCTCTGAGTACAGGGATCAAATACTGTAGGCTGCTGGACACAAGTCTGAGTTTTGTGGCAGAATGTGGTAGCACCCAGTCTATGGACTGAGGTGGCACTCTGGTCCAGATTTAGAAGGGGCATCTGTAGATATGGCAACAGATGGCCAACAGAGATGGTTTAGGGCAGGTTGACAGGTGTGGTGAAGTCAAAGGGAAGAAATGGGGAGAGGGGGGGAGAAGTGTGTGGGAAGAGGAGGGTCTAGACAGCTAAGGCTCCCTGGGATGAAGGGTGACAGTGGTATTGGTGTTAGTGCTTAGTCATCTCTACAAATGTACCAATGATCATGAAGACAGCAAAGTAATAGGCAATATTTTGCTCTATGAGAGAGAAGGTAAGGTAATCGTGGTTTGGGGCCAACAACATAGAGCCACCGTCCTTTCTTGTACAGTCTTTGTAAGGCCTGGGGATTTCAGGCTGGTGAATTAGCGCAGTGGAAGACAGATTCAACTGAGAGAATCCCAAGTCTGGGGTGGGAGATGTGGCATTTAGCTTGGCGTGTGTGTCAGGAGAGGGGAATCCTAGAGCTGGTGAGGGGATAACACGTGGAAAGGCAGCGAGGCCTGGGGATCTCAGAGATACATGTTTGGTTTGGGTTGACTGAGGGTTGAGACTAGACACAGCCAGGTAGGGAGACACTGAAGGAAGAGCTGGAAGGTGGAGCATCTAGAAGTTTGAAGACGGATAAGATCCTTGGCACTTTCACCAAGCCTCCAACCTATGCACGCTATTTACAGAGTAGCATATGGGGAGATAGGGAGATGCCAACAGTGGACATTGGAGCAGGGAGGGGTGTGTGTACGAGTGTCCAGAGAGTGAGGTGTGCTGTGAGTGTGACTAGAACACACAATCTGGGAAAACAAAGGGACTTGCTTGGGCAAAAGGTGTGTGTGTGTTTGTGAGGTGGGGTGCTTGCCAGGCCTGGAGCTAATAACCATGTCTGTCTGTGGCTGCTGAAGGGTAGACTGTGATCAGTGGCTGCCTGAGGAAAGAGTGGCACCAGTGGCACTGGGATTTGGGGTGGGGGTGGGGCAGTGATCTGTGCATCATGGAGGAGGATGTTCCCTTTGGAGAGGTGGTGGGACTCTGGGTCATGGGCTGGTGGCCCAGATGGGTTCATTTGTGCACTACTTTTGTCTCTCTTGCTACTGCCCTTTGGTCCAGTTCTCTGAGCTGTCCCCATCATGACAGGGTCGGGTGACTTTTGAGGACGTAGCTGTGTACTTCTCCTGGAAGGAGTGGGGGCTCCTTGATGAGGCTCAGAGGCACCTGTACCGTGATGTAATGCTGGAGAACTTCTCACTTGTGGCCTCGCTGGGTAAGGCCCTCACACCCACCTCAGCCTCCTGTCCTAGATGCTGCCCTTCCTGTCTGGTCCCAGGGCAGCTCTGTCCTTCTCACAGCCGGAGGACAGGTATCACCTCCTCCTTTGGTTCCTTGGAGTTGGCATGTGTGTGTGCACGTGCACAGGGCTGGGTTGCATGTACAACATCCTTTCTCCCCGAGAAGCCCTATACCCGCTCCCTGAAGCTCGTGGGGAAGGGGCCAGGGGCCGGGAGTCCCAGTCTGGCTGCTGGAGTCCATCTAGACTGGTGGTACTTTTGTGCCTGGGGTGCTGCCCTTTTTCCAGTCCTCCTCCTCGGAGCCCGGTTACAGGTGCCTCAGGCACCCACGTGCTGGACCTCTGTGCTGCTCCCGGGAGCGTTCCTCAGAGGCCTGTTTTGCAACATTGCACTTTCTTCCTGGTTGCGAAGGTAGCCTGAGCTCCCTTTGGTCTGTCACAGGGTGGCTCGCTCTGAGCTGGGACTGACCGCTCACCACTCCTGGTTTTCCTCCAGGACCTGTAGCCTCCAACTGCAGCGTGGTTGCTCAACTGAAGTGGGACACAGAGCCCTGGGGACTCGGCAGAGTAGACATGTCTTCAACTACAGCAAGAGAGGCCCAGAGGGATCCTAGCTCCGGTGAGTGGGGGCTAGGGAGCAGGTGTCCTCAGTGCCGGGTGCACGTCCTGTCCTGAGTCATGCCTGTCTTGTGTCCACCCATGTTTTGCTGCTGGTGCCAGTAGCCACACCTTACTCCCATCTTCCCTTCCTTATTCGGGACACCTTTCCTTTGACTTATTCTACTCTGGCCTCCAGCCCCTGGATGGCTCTGTGTCCTTGACCTCCATCTCTCACCCTTTCCCGTGCATCAGTTCCCTTTGCAGGCCTCTCCACATTGGCCGGAATGAGTGTGGTCAGATATACACACATCTTTACCTCAATTTTGGGCACCTATTACCCAGTTGTCACTATATTTTCCTGGCCTTGGGTACATGACTGTGTGTCCCAGGTTCTGATCCTTTTTCCTGACAGGTTTCCCGGGTTGCCTGTGTCTAGCCTTCCTGAAAACTGAGGAGTTTAGCTGGTGTTCTTGCCTCTCTGCAGCCCAAACCCCCACTCCCACCCCTTGCCCTGTATTCTCCTACCTGATGAGGCCTCTTTTTCTCTGGCCTGCCTGGGTTCTACACTTCCTCACCCTGACTCATCCCACACATTCACCTCTTAGTGGGTTAGACACCTCTGCGAAGCGAGTACCCCTCCCAACCTAGTGTACACTTCAGCATTCCTCTACTTTCAGGTGGTGGTTGTGCAGCAAAGGAGGCCTTTCCTGAGCAAGGCCTTTCTATAGGAGGGTCCCAACTTGGGACCCCCAAAGAAGGTTCCTGCATCCAGAAGGCTAGAATCTGCGACACGTGTGGCCCAGTCTTGAAAGAAATTTGGCACCTGGCTGAGCACCAAGAAAAACTCCCCAGGCGGAAGGCATACACGTGTAAGACTTGTAGGGAAGGGTTCTGGATCTGTGCAACACTTTACCAGCACCAGAAGGGGCACAGCGGTGAGAAACCCTTACGATGGGACAAGGACAAAGCCCTATTAGTGAAGAGCTTCAGCGTCCCCCTGTCAGAGAAGCCCCTTACAAGCAAGGAGTTTAGTGTGGATGTCCAGGACAGCCACAAACCAGACCTCCACAAGCCGACCCCTCCACGTGAAGGGAAGCCATGCAGGAGCACTGAATATGCGAAGGCCTCCCCAAACCGCTCCAGTCTTAGGCAACATCAGGAAGCCCACACTGGACAGAAGCCCTTCAGGTGCAGTGACTGTGGGAAGGTCTTCTTAAAGGCCTTCACCCTCCTCGACCACCTGATAAGTCACGCTAAAGAGAGAGCTTGTGGGAATGTCTTGAGTGCTACATCAGCCCACGTTAATCATCAGAAATCTCATATTGGAGGAATGTCCCATGTGTGTAATGAATGTGGAAAGGCCTACAGTCACCTATCTCTGCTGAAAATGCATCAGAAAGTTCACAATGGAAAAACCCATCATAAGTGCAGTGAATGTGGGAAAGCGTTCACTCGGAAGCACTCCCTTAGTCAGCACTGGAGAATTCACACTGGAGAAAGACCTTATGAATGCAGCCAGTGTGGGAAGACCTTTACTCGGAACTTCCATGTTGTTCGGCACCAGAAAGTTCACAATACAGCAAAGCCTTATGAGTGCAGGCAGTGCCGCAGAGTCTTTAGCTGTGCCTCTAGCTTTGTTCAGCATCAGAAAATACACACAGGAGAAAGGCTTCATAAGTGCAGGGAATGTGGGAAAGCTTTCATTAATAGCTCCCATCTTGCTCGGCATCAGAAAGTCCACAACATGGAAAGGCCTTATGAGTGCAAAAAATGTGGAAAAGTTTTCCGTCAAACCTCCAAACTCGTTCTGCATCAAAGGATTCACACTGGAGAAAAACCTTATAAGTGTAATCAATGTGAGAGGGCCTTTAGTTGCCCCTCCAACCTTGTTTCACACCAGCGAATTCACACTGGAGAAAAACCTTATGAATGCTCTGAATGTGGGAAAGCCTTCAGTCAAAGCTCTGCCCTTCTTCAACACCAGAAAGTTCATACCAGAGAAAGGCCGTATGAATGCAGTGAATGTGGAAAAGCCTTCAGCTACAGCTCGAACCTTGCTAAGCACCGGAAAGTTCACACTCAAAAAAGACCTTATGAGTGTGGTCAGTGTGGAAAGGCTTTCAGTGAAAGTTCTATCCTCAGTCAGCACCAGAGAGTTCACACCAGAGAGAGGCCTTATGAGTGTAACAAATGTGGTAAAACTTTCCGCTTCAGTTCTAATTTTTACAAGCATCTAAAAGTTCACATTGGGAAAAAAGCCTTATGAGAGCAGTAAGTATAGGAAAACAACCTCATTCAGCACCAGAAAGGTCACACCAGAGAAAGGCCACAGCAGTGCAGTGAATGTGGGGAAGTATTTAGCTGTGGCTTTCTCTTTGTTCATCATAAAATGACTCACTTCTGAGGAAAGTGCTGAGAGGAACCTTTGTGAAGATGCTATCGATCAAAAATGGGAACTTGCATATCCCAATACCTCACTGAAAAATTTGTTCTTGAGTGTCAGGTGGGCGAAAGACTTCCAGGAGTAATGTTGTACTTTTTAAACTGCCCAGGCCCCTTGCCAGATGTCACTGCCAGTGCCTGTGGCAGATGCCACACCACTCTACCAACTGACAGGGCATCACCGTGTATGCCTGTCAATATACTCAGGGAAGGCAGACTTCTGTGCATGCTTTCCGATTCGGAAAAACCGTGAGTGATGAGCACATTGAAATGATATTAATTCTCAACATTACAGTACTCATGGTTTAGGTATATTGTCCATTAGAATCTAACTGGAGTCTACTGATGACTCTATTAAGTGTCCCTTCTTTATGGGCTTTGTTGAGTCTAGATAACACCTATAATGGTGCTGTCCAGCCACCAGCTCACTGGGCTTTTGAACTGCCTGCTTTAAGTTGCTCCAGAGTGTGTGATAATAAAGGCCTTGTTGTTTAAGCCACAGGGGCTCTGCCTGTTGTGTGTAGGGAGGGGTTAAGAATAGAACTGAGCTTTGCCAGTATGATGTGGCTAAAGGGCTTTAGTGATGTGGATAAAGGGAGGCAGGGGAAGCACTTCATGTATTGCACTGTGAGTAGCAGGTTGACGGGGAAGAGCTTTCAGTCTGGTTACCTAATTTGCTTTACAGCCCAAATCTGGGAAAGACTGCGGGTATCTCATGGCCAAATCTTGTGTCCTAGGTGCCAGGACAATCTGCTAGCCTTAGAGTTGAGTATTTGGTGTGGTCATCTCAAGTAGTTCCTGGAGTAGGCGTTGGGTCCTTTGTTTTCAGGAAACTTTGGGAGTCCTTAGCGGTGCTGTGGTGTCTCCTGAAGTCTAGACAGCATCACTAACTACAAGGTCTACAGGGGCCAAGTCAGAACTGTAAGTGAGTAATGAAACTGGGCTGGAAGTCAGACAGAATGAGGGACTTCATAGCAGTTTTGAACACTGGTGTTGGCTGAGGTCAGAGCTATAGCTATAGGCTTTCCTGCATCTGTTGTGCTAGAAGGGCTTTCGACTGATAAGGGTCAAAGATATCACCCTACAGGTAAGCTAACGAGTTAGCCTGATGAGTTCTAGAGCCAGAGTTAAGACTCTGAGTTAGATACAGAATCTGTGCTCTTAAGCACGGTACTAAGTCTAGATTCTTACAGGTTTAAAACAAACACTGCCAGGAAGTCGATTTCAACTCATAGTAACCCAATAGGACAGTACAGAAGTACCCCTGTGGGTTTCTGAGACTTTTTAAATCTTAAGGGAGTAGACAGCCTCATCTTCTCCCACAGAGGTGTGGTGGATTGGGACCCCTGATCTTATGGTTAGCAGCTCAAGGTGTTAAGTGACTACACACAACTGGTAAACTCAATAAATGTTCACTGCTCTCGCTACATTAATGCCAGGCCTGTGACTATGAATTTTCCTGTATTACAAGATGCAGGGGCACTGAGCCCACCACAGAGTAGTGTTTGAACAGTGGCCTGGTGGCTGAAAGCCTGGGCTTTTAGAGAACAGACAGGCATCTTCTTGGCAAAGGGGCCTGGTTAGTCTGGGTAGATGAAACCAAGGGTAAAGGAAGAGGTGGAAGCCTGGAGGGATTTCCTGATTCTCTTTCGGGTTGACATTTCTGAAAGGAAGCTGGGATCTAAAGGATAACACTCCTCCTCTCCTCCCCACCCCACCCCCAAAGGTGAGCTAACTGGCAAATGAGGATGAGGCCAAAGCTGACTGCAGTCCCTCTCCAGGGACTGCAGATGATGTGCCGGCCACTGTGGCTGGCTCACTTCTGTGCTTCAGAGAAGCCTGAGATCCACATACTGTTGTGAGGTCGCCTAACTTTTAGATGACAGAAACTTAAAATTTTGAATACTTAACAAACTTTCAGTGGAGCCACAAAACCAGTTGCAATCTTGGGTTAGAGCTGGATTTCCAAGGGGTCCTAGATGGAGTGGAGACCTGAGGGAGCCGATATGAGCAGGGGTGGTCCCCAGACTGGGAGCTACATCTAAACAGGATAGGAGTTTTGGGCACAAACACAGGGTGTGGGTGCTGAGAAGGCCTGTGACTAAACACTTCCAGGGACCAATTGGTAGATGGCTGTAGTCAGGCTTGACCCAGGCATTTAGTTAGAAGGTGATGAGGATGCTACAGGCTCCAGCTGCATTTTTGTAGAAATTGGCCAGCTGATCAAACCAGAGAAGGATAAGGAAGTCATGCCCAGAATATGTAAACAGCTTGCACAGCTCAATGATAAGAACCCAATTTAAAATGGGCAAGATATCTGAATAGGGTTCATCAGAGAAGATATACAGATGACTAGTAAGCATACGAAAAGATACCCAACACCATCATTATTCATTAGGAAATACAAATTAAAATCCTGTTGAGATACCATGTCACATCCACTAGGATGTCACTAAAAAGATAAGACAGTACTAAAGTCAGCAAGCAGGCAGAGAACTGGAAGCCACCTACATCACTCGGGGGAATGTAACATTGTTGAGCCCTTTGAAGAGTCTGGCTGTTTTTTAAAGAATTACCCAATAACCTGGCGAAATTAGGAGGAATGACAGATGACAACTAGCACTATCAGGTGCTCGTGCGGACAAGTTGTTCATCTTGAGAACACCTGTAAGGGGTTATATTTGCTTGGTAATGTAAAGGGTCACTTTCCGTCTCTGCAAGCTCTCGAGCGGATTGCCTGAGATGTCCCTCACATTCCAGTCTTGTACTTTCTCCATGAAAGTCTGTCTCTCTTCTACTTTTGTGGAGTGTTTGTGTAGGTTGGCAGGAGATTTTGTTTTCACTTCTATGGAGTCTGTGGGGAGGGATCTGATTGACTGAAGCCAATGAATCAGGATGTACGATGGTGGGATCACACATAACCAAGCAACATGGCTAGATAGGGGAGAGGGAGGACTTTAAGCTCAAGGCAGTGAAGAGTACTGTTGTGTTAGAGAAAGGGGAAATGAATGCCAAGGTGGCAACCGAAAAATTTAAGAAATGCCCATTACACTTCAAGAGATTGTTCTTAATTATGTTTTTCCAACAGTGTTCAAAGCAGCAAAAACAAAACCTTGAGTCACTTGACATACATGTTCCCAGCTGAGGTTGAACAAGGGAACACTGCCTTCTCACTTGAGCCTTCCTACGGCAAACCAGTGTCCTTTTGTCGTCCACGTGCTACCATGCTTTTAACTTCTGTGCGTTTTGTTAAGGATATCACTCTTCAAAGCGTTCCCTGCTCCTCTAGTGTAACACAAATAAGAGGGCTATGGGGTGCCATTCAGAGAAAAAAATGTGTGAATGTTGTTCATGAGTTCAGTGTTAATGAACCAACAGTACACAATTGAAAATGGTGTTTTAGAACAAACGTCAAGTTATGTATTAATCAAATCTGACACTATTCTCGTATTTCTCCTCAACTCACTGCCACGGAGTTGATGCCCTTCGAGAGAGAGACCCAACAGGGCAGGGTAGAACTGCTCTGTGGGTTTCTGGGACTCAAAGTCTCATCTCCAACAGTTCTGAACTGCCGAACTTGGGGTTGGTAGCCCCAGGAGTAACCCACATGCCACCAGGGAGGGTCCCTTTCTCCTAAAGCAGTGGTTCAGTATTCATTCACCCTTGACAGCAGCTTTTTCAACACAACTACCAAAATGATAGGGTGAGCTGAGGATGCACACAGCAGACGATTATTGACGCTAAAAAGGAACAAAGTACTGACAGGATTGATATAACATGTGAAACTCAAAAATATTCTATTCCAAGTGGAGGAAAAAACAAAAAGTTAACCCAAACGCACTGACGGGCATCAAGCGGACTTGGGCGCCTAGCCCCTCGGCGCAGGATAAAGCAGAACTGCCCCTGTGGGTGTCTGTGGCTGTGAACTTGGATGAGGGCAGGCAGCCTCCTCTTTCTCTGGTGGGGCAGCTGGTGAGTTCAAATGACTGACCTTGCGTGTAGCAGCCCAACACGGAAGCCACTAGGTCTCCGTCACTAATATAAGCCGGCTACAGAAGGACACAAGGGGAGAGGTGGAAATGCAAGTGGCCACACCCGGCCCAAGAGGGGCTGCTTACCTTGTGGCGGCGTCCTCTGGGTCACGGGCTGCTGGGGCCCCCGGCGGCGAGTCTCCGTGAACACGGCCCCGATTGGCTCGGCCCTCGGTCCCGCTGCCGAACGGGGCTCCCGTCACGGGGAAATGGATCGCGAACGTGTTCATCCTCACCCAGACCCGAGCAGCTGGCGAGCCCTCCGCGCCCCGCCACACTGGACTGGCAGTTAGGGACCCCTCTGTGAAGGAGCGCGGACACGGCGCGCTTCTCCGCCACGGACCTGGGAAGGCCCTCCCGCACAGGCCAAGCGGGTCGCCGCGCGTACGACGTGCCCAAAGCCCCGCCGGGGGCTCGGTGCCCCCAGACCCGCCCTTCTTCTGAGCCTCGTGCCCAGGGCAGCTGAGGGGCATGAACTGTGCGCAGAGACCCGAGTGGGCTCCCTCAGGGTCCGGTTCGGCCGCACGGCACTACAGTTCCCGCGAGACCAAGAGCCGCCCAGGAGTCTGTCCCTCAGTTGTGTGGGCGGAGGGCGAGTTGCCTAGGTAACGGTGGGAGGACGGCGCCGGAAGTCCCGCCCCAGCCGGCGAAGCCAGCGCCGGTTCCAACGCACGACGAGGGGCCTTTCGGGTAATGTAGTTCGCATCTCTCCCATCTTACCGCGCCCTTCGCGAGCGCCCTGGCAACCACCAAGCAACACCAGCATTGACTCAACAGCAGTGAGAAACCCTTTGTCTTCGAGTCCACTTTGCGACCAACTGGGAGACACTGTCACCGGAGGAGCAGGTCGTAAGCCACAATCAGGACTCAGATCAGGGCGTTTCAGCGTGGACAGCAGCCTGTGGGCGGGACTTCCTGCACCGCTTTGGCCATTCCCAGTCGTCCATCTGCGGTCCATTTGATGCTGACCCTCCGGAGGCAGCTGTCTTCCCTAAAGGCCGCAAGAGCCCAGCCCCTCCGCGCCTTTGCAGGAGCCACTGTTCCGGTGAATGGCTCCGCCTCCATTAGCCTCGGCTTCCCGGTGATAGAACAAGTGCCAGGAGTGCCCAGGGCCTCCGTACCTGCCCCCAGCATCCTCGGCCCTCCAGTTCTTGGATGCGTTTGACGCTGGGGAAACCCATCGAGGTTCGAAGTAACGGAGTCATCCGCAGGTCACTCAACCCAAGCTGGACAGTGGGCTTTTGGGCATTCGGTTGAGCCCACAGGATCTGTCTGGGTATACCGACACCCCCAACACCGTGCCCATTCTACCGTCAGCTTCGATAGGGTTGGCAGTGTCGCTGATGGACGTGCTGCAAGTGAGCGGAGGATGCCCCAAGCCCTCTTGGGCCCAAAGGCCCAATACCGGGATTGGTGTTACCTAGGGACTCTGGCTTTCCTTCCATGAGTCTGGGCCCCGAGAGTGTGCTGAATTCAGGACAGGGATTTTTTTTTTTTTTAACACTAATGCCATTTCTGGATAAGGTCTGGCACTGTATACAAGGTACACCGAGGTATAGATGGAGCTTTCAAAAAGTTCATGGAAATGAAATTAAACAATAAACGAATTTTTCCACAAAAATTTTGAGGCCCTCTTAGTTGTTAACTGCCATCAAGTCAGGTTTGACTCGTAGTGACTCTTTGCACAACAGAAAGAAATACTGACTGGTCCTGCAGTCACTGTATCTGTCCATTCCGCTGAGGGTCTTCCTCCTTTTGCTGACCCTCTACTTTACCAAGCATCGTGCCTTTGTCCAGGATTGGTCCCTCCTGAGAACATGTTCAAAGTACATGAGACAGCTTCACCATCCTCCCTCCTAGGCAGTGTGCTGGCTGTTCTGGCTAAGCTGGAGCAAGTACACTGGTGCACATAAGAGCTCAGGACACACAGAATCCAGGCCAGATAAACTTATCAGGAACAGAAATGGGAATAGTGATACCAGGAGGGTAGGGGGAGGAAGGGAGGAAGGGGGAACGACTGCAGTGATTGACACATAACCCCACCCCTCAGGGGGATGAACATTAGAAACATGGGTGAAGGGAGATAGCAGTCAGTGTAAGATATGAAAATAATCATTTATAATTTATCAAGGAGTCATAAGGATGGGAGGCGGGACAAAGAGGTGCTGATACCAAGGGCTCAAATAGAAAGTAAATGTTTAGAAAATGATGATGGCAACGTATGTACAAATATGCTTGATACAATTGATGTATGGAATGTTTTTTGGTTTGCTAATTTTTTTTTGGATGTATGGAATGTTATAAGAGCTGTAAGAGCCCCGAATAAAATGATTTAAAAAAGAGTTGGACTCCAGCTATGTTATCTTTAAGATGTCCCAGAAGTGCCAAAATTAGGTGCCAACTGTGTGTCTGGACAAGAAAGTACAGTTAAGACAGGCCAAGGAGTGGAGGACAGTCTGCGGACACCAGTAGCAACTGTGGTTTAGGCTCAGGATGGTGGTCAAGCCTCCTGAGGAGAGAGCGGTCCTGGGACAGAAGGTGGCATAGAAATATGGAGGTAAAATGACAATGGGACCTGGAGTTAGGTTGATTTACCACTGTAGCACACCAGATACTTGTGGCATTTGGGGATTTATCTAGCTGTCAAAGAATAGTAGAGGCTGTCCCGACCCGCAGGAACGTCAATACAGACCCAGGAGGAGGGAGTGGGAATTGAGGGGAACAAGAGACACGAGAAACGGAGACAAGACAGTATTCTGATCAAGTCTCCTTTATTGAGTGAAAGGTTGCAGCCTATATAGGCCAGGGGAAAGGAAACACCTGTCGCACATGTAAATTAGGCCACTTTGGTAATAGACCAATCAAGGAGTCGGGGGGAGCTTGCCCTCAGTAACGGTTTACAGTCTTCAACCAGGTACGCAAAGTGACGTCATTTTAGGCAAATCAGGTGCAGGCACTAGATATGTAAATAGGGTGAAGACAATCTCCTACCCAACCAAGGGGAAGCAGGATATAGGTGCTTTATCTAAAAAACGTCACACCATGTATGGAAACCCCATTATCTGTTTCTAGGCAGACTTGAAGGCTAAACTCAGCCCGTCCCAAGGACAGGCTATTCAGAGGGGAGATAACATAATCACAAAACCATGTCACGTAGGCGGGAATGGAAAAGTACTGCAAGCTCTGACAAAATATAGTGAAGATTGAGCCGAATGGCCCCGGACAAGAGGCTGAGTCTCCAAGGCACCTTCCGGCCAGTGGATCTGGTCTTTGATGAAGAGGCAGAATGTGCAAAAGCAGAGGATGAGAGCAGGGGTATTTGTTTTAGGTGTGGTTCTGGGCAGCTGGAAGTTTTAAAGCAAGCTACAGGGCAGGGTAGGAAGCATTGGCTAAGAGGGCTGAAGACTGCCTCTGGCAGTGGGGATTTTGGAGATCTGGGGCAGGATTGGATCACAGTTGCATGCAAAATGCCACCGGGGATGCTACAGAAATGTCTGTGGTATGGACGAGGTTGGGGGTCATATATAAGATGAGGGTGAGGGTGTGCAAACGAATGAGGTTGGGGGGCCTAACGCAAGTGGCTAATTGGCTGAAGAGTGAGTCCAAGTTTTCATGTGGTTGAGTGGTGTGATCTGGAGACACAGGGCAAATTGCTTAGGAGGCGGCGGGTGAGATATTGGGTGCCAGACCCAGAGCTTAGACAATCCTCCAGCCTGTCGATCCTCTGACCCGGGTGCAGTGAGGGACCAATGGGACTACAAGGAGAGAGAGGGCCCCCAGTGTTGACGAGGCCTATTACCTTCTCTGATTGGGGGGTTGGGAATTAGTGTAAACTTTGAGTTGAGGACTGGTGGCAGACTGAGGGCCAAGAGAAAAGGAACTGCTTAAGGTGGATGTGCTAAGACCCAGAGTCAATGACCAAGGGTCCAGATGTATGCACAGGGTGTTTTCCATCCTACCTGCTGGCCCCCTGGCTCAGCTGCTCCATCACTGCAGAGCTCAGTGACCTTTGAGGACGTGGCTGTGCCCTTTCTCCCAGGAGTTGGCGCAGCCCAGAGGCAACTGTACTGGGATGTGATGCTCGAGTATTTGGAACTCACAGCCTCACTGGGTAGGGCCATCATGCTCAACCTCACGCCGGTGACAAACCTCTGGTCATCCCAAAGTAGAACTAAGATGCTTTCTACATTATGTGGGTGCTGGGGCCAGGTCAGGCCTTTCCTATCTCTCTCTGAGCAGCCTCATGAGTGCGGGAAACTAACACGGAGGGAAATATGACGAGGACTATACTCCCTAACTTATAACAGAGGGAATCTGGAAAGTTGGTATTCTATGGTAGGAAAGCCTCCACTATGGTAAATTAGAAGTCAAGTCCATTATCCTGCTTTAAATATTCCGACAGATTCTCCCCTTAACAGCTATGCTGCCTTATAGTGAGCACATGGTTGATTCTATCTCCCTATTGAAGCAGACATGATCCCTTTGCTCTCTCCCTGCCGTGACACCCAACCCCCCTAATACCTTCCCCCAATTCAGGTGTTAGGTTTCCTCACCTGTGAGCTCAAGGACCTTAATGTAGATACCACCCAACTTGAGATGCATGTAACTACTGAATACGCAGGTCTTATGCTACCTGTAAATGTCCCCAGATAGTAAAGCTTCTCTCTCACTTCTCCTAGTTCCACGTGGACCCCTTTATTTTATTCTCTCTCCTATCTTTCTTATCTTCTATGACTTCACTATAATCTTTATATATTATCGCCGTACATTTTTGTGCCTTCTGGCCCTTCGGTTGTTGGAGGCTGGTTTCCTCTGATGCATGAGCAATCCTAATAGCTACTGTCCAAGGACCCTAGTGAGCAGGGGGTGGGTATCAAGCATCTTCAAGCTGCCTAACCAATTCCACCAACTTAGAGTGGGGCCATTAGCCCTCCCGTGCTGAATTTCTTCTTCATCTATGAGTTCGTTTTAAAAAAACAGCTCAGACGGGTACTTAACTCTTCTTTTCTGCTTAGGTCTTGCCCCCTCAGATTTCACGCATTGCCAAGTGGACTGGGATGATGAGCTTTGGTGTACAACAGGGTGGCTGTGACTCTAGCCATAACAAGGGGGGCAAACCCCCCCCCCCCAAAAAAAAACAAGGGGGCCTGCAAGGGTCCTGGTCTTAATGAGTGTGAGCTGAGCATGGGGTCACGTTGAAGATGGGCTCAAAACATGTCAGGAATCTGGTGTTCTGGTGCCATGACCAGTGGCTCCTCCTCATTTCCAGTTTCCTTTCCCTCTTCTAACACTTGTGGCGTTTGCCATTTTCACTACAACTCCCTGACTGTAACTGGTCTGCTCCTCTCTGGCCAGCTTTTTCTGTTTTCCATGCACTGCTGCCCCCTATTGGCCTCCTCTCAATGTGACAGGACTCACGTACACACTTTTTACATAATCTGGGGTCAGCTTGAGATATTACGAGGGAAAGGGTTGAGTTTAGCCTGTCAATCAGGTCACAGCTTGATGACCTCATTT